GAGGATGTGGAGAGATTGGGACTCTCATACACTGCTGCTGGGACTGTCAAATGATACAACCACTGTTGAAAGCAGTATTGCAATTCCTTAAAAAGTTGGAAATAGAAATACCATTTGACCCAGACATTCCATTACTAGGTATATATCCTAACGAAGTGGCAGCCAGGACAAGAACAGATATATTCACACTCATGTTCATTGCAGCGCTATTTACAATAGCAAAAAGATGGAAACAACTTAGGTGCCCATCAACAGAAGAATGGATAACCAAACTATGGTACATATACACAATGGAATATTATGCAAACCCAGAGAATAACATAGAACCAGCAAAACACCACATAACATGGATAAACTTGAAGGACATTATACTGAGTGAAATAAGTCAATCACAGATGGACAAATACTGTATTAGTTCATTAATTTAAAAAGCCAAGGGAAGATTTATATATGGAAGGAAGTTGTCTTTGTTGGTTACCAGGAGTGGGAGGAGAGGGAAGGGGATACTGTTAGATAAGTAGAGACAAGTATTGATTTGGGTGAAGAGATGGGCAATGTACCAAATGTGAGTGACCAACATGGTGGCATTGAGGAAGAGGAAGACATAGAGAGGCACATGGAAGATACAGACAACAAAGGTGAATCCTTTTGCACATACAGTACTGTGTTGTCACTGAAGGCAAACATTGATACACAGGTGGGTAGATGGGTGGACAGGCTGAACAGCTCTGGTAGCACAGTGCCTAATCCACCAGCCACTCCTCGGAAGGAAGGATGGGCAATCTACTTCCATTGTGATACTGCCTTGGAAACCCAAAGAGGGGTCGCTGTGAGTCGGGTGTGACTCGATGGCACGTAACAACAAATGCAGGGGGGAGTGTGCCCATGTACAGGGTTGGCAGACAATGTTTCTACAAGTGTATTTGTATGTTCTGTAAGGATTCCCAGGTATATAGTAGAGCTGACAAGGGACAAGGTTGTAGTCACTTCTTGACCACAGCCAGCTACTCAGAGAGAGTGAATAGTTTGACCTGTGGCTTGGGACCATAGTCGCAGGGGACATCAAGTTCAATTGGCAAAACATACTACACAAGAACATCGTTCCACATCCTACTTTGGTGAATAGCGACTGGGATCTTGTTGTTGTTGTCATTATGTGCCGTTGAGTCAGACCCAACTCATAGCGACCCCTTCTTGGTTTCCGAGGCAGTATCACTACGGAAGTAGATTGCCCAACCTTCCTTCCGAGGTCTGGGATCTTAAAAGCTTGCAAGTTTTTAACGATGGGTCTCTCCTCATCCAGAGCAAAGAATGAAGAAAACCAAAGGCACATGGAAACAATTAGTCCAAGTGACTGGTACACCATGTGACCCTCAGCCTATATGACTAGGAGACCAGAAGAACTAGATGATGCCCAGCTACCAATATCAACCACTTGGAGGGGGACCTATGTGGTAGTTAAGTTTGTGTGTCAACTTGGCTAGGCCTGGTTGAGTGCCTGGGCAGCTGGATGTAGTTATTCCCCATGGTAAGATTGATAATCAGCTCCATGGTGGAATGTATTGGAGCAGCCGAGTAGCTGCTTTAGGGATGTGGTCTGCTTCCCATATATAAGCAGCCGCTTTGGGAATGGTCTCTAGCTTACGGCATGCTTGAACCCTGCATGTAGCCATGTCATTGTTCAGCAGCCTTCCATACTCTGCTGACCTTGGGACTTTCAATGGACTGGAATTAATGACCTGCCATGTGGTTTGGTAACACCAGGACTGTGCCTTTTTACTTGTCAATCTTGGGCTTGTCAGCCTTAGCAGCCAGCAGCTGAGTGAAGAAAAGCCTCTAGCTCCAGTGGGCTGGGCGCAGGAGGCAGAGCTGAAGTCCAAGGTTGAGAGGGTTTCACCCAGCCCCTAGAGACTGACACTTTGAACTTGGACTTAAAGCCTCCAAACTGTAAGAGAATAAACTCCTGTTTGTTCAAGCCATCCCATTTGTGGTATTTTCTGTTAGAGCAGCACAGAAGTAACCAAAACAATGGATGTAGGAGATCCTGGATAGAGTGGGAGAACAATGTCAAACAAAACTCAAAATCATTAAAAAAAAAAAAGGGAGGGAGGACCAGGTTTGCTGGTCTGATAGAGCCTGATGGAACCACTGAGACTGTGGCCCTTTGCCCTTCAGCTCTGGAATTGAACTCTCTCCTGTGGCTTCCAGCCAGACAGAAGACAGGCATATGAGCTGAACATTTACATTAGGTAGATACACTCCTTGGAGAGATCAACCATGGGAGAACAGAAGGGCTGTGTATGCACATGGAGACAGCTCGGGGGGCAGGAGTGCATGGGAGGGAAGGACACAGGGAAGAGAAGGAAGTAGGGGAGCTGCTGCATTGTGGGAAATTGCAGTCAATGTCATGAGACAAAGTATATGTGAGCTGCTGTACAGAAGGTGTATTTGCTCCGAAATCTTTCATCCAAATCACGACAAAAATTTTTTTAAAAAATGCAGAATCTCAGTTCCCACCCCAGAATTCACATCTTAACAAGATCTCTGGGTGATTTACACACACATTAAAATTGGGGAAGGACTTTATTAAACTATCAGTGTATCCTAACCTAGCTAAATGCATATGACCATCACACCAAGAATTTTAAACAAGATAACAATGTCCAGACTGCAACGTCAGAGCAATGAAACAGAACTGAGGGCTGGGGGTAGCCTGTGTCAGTCATAGCTCCCAAGGTGACCTACTGTACAACCAGGGTTGACAGACACTGGGCTGGATGCAGTAAAAATTAAGAAGGGTCTGGATGAAGTTGTGAGCAGCCTACAACATCCTCAGTGAGGCTGGAAATAATCAAGACAGATGTTCTCAGCTTAGAGTCTCAGGTCCAGAGTAGACCTGGCTTCTGATTCAAGTCCACATCTGTGTGACCAAGAGCGCCCTACCTGGCAGTGCTGTGCTGACTGTCCAGGGGTGAGAAGAGGCCTGTCACTGCTCCCCAATGGATCACAACCAACCTCCACCTGCAGTGGCCTCGGGCCCAGCTGCTTCCAGCCCAGTAGCCTGCTAAGGTCTTCCAGGGTCAGAGGACTCTAAATCCCTAGGCTTCAGGATCTGGTCCCACTGACTAGAGTCTGGGGTCAAAGAATGGGGCAACTTTCAAAGGGTCTCTAGAACTTCTAGATGGCCAAGTGATGGGTCACAGGAGAGGTTCATTTGGCCCAAAGAACAACAACAAAAAAATTAATGGAAATATACTTGTCAACATTTTAAATCAAGGTTTCACATTAAGGGGGGAAAAAAATTCCACATTCTATTGTACAACCTGCAGATCTGGCAACAATTAGCTGGATCGGTGCTGGAAGGGCCCTGGAGACAGCAGCCCCAGCACCCAGAGTGCACTCCCCACCTGGCCTGCTTTGCTCCAGGCACTGCCCATCCACCCCTGGAACTACCTGACCTTGAAGCCCCTGGATTCTAATCCAAGTCTTCATAGAGAAGCAAAGGTCCCAAGGGAAGCTAAGGTCTGCTTTAAATCCAGGGCTCACTGAGAGGACACAGTGGGTTCCCCAGGTCCTTGTGAGTGAGCTGTCGGGTCTGACCCATTGCTCCTTGCACAGTGCTCCAGACTGCCTTTCTTATCATCCCAGGTCAACAGGGCCCTTGTGAGAATCTGAAGGTGACAAAGAGGCCAGCTTTTGTGACAAGCAAGAATTCGGTTTACTGGAGTATGTTTTTCCATGCTTTTCCCTCCCTCTTCCTTACCGACTCCTCCTCAAAGGAAGAGCCAATCAGGGGCCTGTTCTGACATGAAGGCCCAGGATGCACCAGTCACAGCAAATAGTAAACAGAGTCAAGATTGAAGTGAAAAGATCTTGGGGGACGGGGGTTGAGATGGAGGACCGGAAGGGTGGGGAGACTGCACAAGAGACTTTCACTTTTGAGAGCAAAAAACATCATGAACATTTGGGAAAGAGGGGCATGTGGTTACTTCTATTTCCTTTTGTTTTTTGAGGGAATCTTCTCTTACTGAAGGGTAAAAATTTGCAGGCCATGAAAGATCCTTTAAAGATTGAGTCAAGCTTGGTCAACACGACTTTCCTTGCTGAGATACTGGAGCAGGAGGTCAGGCAGGGGACAAGCTCTGGGGCAGGGGAAAGGTTAAGGGAAAGGGAGAACCTGCAGGTGGAGAGTGGCCCCTATACCTTACAACTTCTGTCTCCAGGGCTCTGGCTCCAACCGGGCCCTGACCATGTCTGCTGTCAAATGCAGAGCCTGTAAGCTGATGGGATGGCCTCTCCAGAAGGTAGGCCATGAGTACAAGTGACCGTGGGTGGCTAGCTTCTCCAGTGTCTATGTTCTTCTGAAGGTGAAATATGAAGGCTTAGCTGGGGGAAGGCACCAAGACAACCTTTGTGACTCTATCACAGGTGCTTCTGGGCCTTTCCTGCTCCTAAAACTCAAGGAAGAGTCTGGAAGCCATGGCTAGAGGAGTGCGGTAATGCCTGGCTCCAGCCCTCCACTGCCCACTTTGTGGGTACACTGTAGATCCCAAAGCCCTGGCTCAGCCTCTAGTCTTCCAGGCTGGGAGTGTGCCATGTGAGAGACTGGTTCTCCTCTCTGGAGTCCGTGCTCTAGGAGATCTGAAGTCCGCGGTGGGGAGGCATGCTAGAAGCTAGACTGGTATGTCCTGAAGTAACCAAGGGAGGCTTTACCCACTCCTCATTTTCACTCAGGAAACCACTGGAGTCAGCAGGGGTGGGGTCCAATCTCTAGAGGCAGCTGGAGACAAGGACAAAAGCAGCAGCCCAGCTGTAACAGCAGGCTAGGATGGGGCAGCTGTCCCCAGGTCACCGAGCATCACACAGGAAATACACATTCCCTTTATGAATGTCAGGGGGAGGCTGGGTAGGGTGGGCTGGAAGCCAGGGTTCTCCTGGAGCTTGTGTGATGTCATTACAACACTGGGATCCATTTGTTGTCCTCATTGTAGAGGAAGGACTGCTTTCCTGGGAATTCTGGCTTGTACGTGGCTGCAAGGAGAAAGAGACAGCACTGTGAGAGAAAAGGCCATAGCTGGAGTGACTGGACTCCCTGGCATTCTACATCAGAGCTGGAAAGACCAGCAGGGCCCCTGGTCCAGCCCCCACATCTTACATGTGGGAGACAAAGTTACAGGGCTTTTAATTGGTAGAGGCAGGACTTGAACTTTACTTCTGCCTTTTTCAAACTCACAGCAGAAAATATGCAAAACAGTTGCAAAAACACTGAGGAAAGTAATATTCTTAAAAAGCAAAGTGTCAGTTTGGTGGGGTTTTGTTTTGATTTAGTTATTGCAGAAATTTCTAGAAAAGTGAAAGCCAGGGCAATGCAGACAAGGTTCTCTAGGAGATGAGCAGCCATGACCAAGCATGGCTGGGGAACCATACCTTTGAGGAGCCTGGACTCTCCCATGCCAACACTAATTTGGTCAATGAGAGTTCTGGGAATGGCTACTCTGTTACTGTACCTGGGATGCTGCTGATGGGCAACATGGGAGCCCAGGTATATCTGTGCTCACTGGGAGTTTACAGGGCAGATGCCTGCATGTGGGTATGCCCAGGAGTCCGTTAGGGAAGCCCGCCTACACCTAAGTGGGCAGAGTAGCAGAAATAGGCCTACACATGTGTGGTGGGCTTCTGGTACCAGGCATGGCATGGAGAAGGTCCTCCAAAAACTCCCTAGTGCAGTGGGCTGAACAGGGTCAAACAAGGGTGCCCAGCCCATCCCCGGACCTCTTGGAGTTCACCACTCATGTGGAACATTCGTACACTTGCTGACCCAAATTGAGTTCTCTCTGGACTGATCTGATTATCACTACATTTCCAAGGCCAAAGCTATGAGAGAGATGGTCTCCCTATCTGGTCTACCTTGATTTTTATGTGTGTCAGGGGACAATCTCCCCTCCCCACCAGACTAAGGCCTCGAGAGGCAAACCCCAGGTCTAAGTCATCTTTGCCTCCCCTGGATGTGGCAGCCACAGTGCTCAGTGAAAGGCTGACTTCAGTGACACAGCAGTAGCATCTCAGAATCATCTTCCTCCTCCCATGTCACCTGCTTGCCTGCACAGCTGTCAGTCCTCAGTGTCACCTGCCCACCTGCACAACTATAGGTCCTCAGTACCACCTGCTCTGGACATTGTCAGGGATTGGTAAATGGTTAAGTCACTCTCTTATCAAAAATCAAACCCACTGCCATCAAGTCAATTCTGACTCAGAGTGATCCCCATTGAGTTTCTGAGGCTCTAAATCTTTATGGAAACTGATTGCCTCATCTTTCTTTTGCAGAGTAGCTGATGGGTTCGAACCACCAACCTTTTGGTTGGCAGCCCAATGCTTTAACTACAGTGCCACCAGAGTTCCTTAAGGGACTCTCTCTCACAGCCATTGAGTCGATTCTGACTCATAGTGACCCCCACTGGCTTTCTGAGGCTGTAAATCTTCATGGAAGTAGATTGCCCCATTCTTCCTTCTGTGGAGCAGCTGGTGGGTTTGAGCCGCTGACCTTCTGGTTAGCAGCCAAATGCCTTATCAGCTATGGCAAAGGGACTCTCTAGAGAGCTACAGAAAGGTAGATAAGTACAGACACCACCCATCAGGGTGCGTTAGCCTCTCCTGATGTTAGCTCTCACGGAGATCCCAAACGAACAGGGCATCATTACTTAAGCTCATCTGTAAAAAGGGAGTTGAACTAGATGGCTTAAAAGATGCGTTCCAGGGACTCTTTCTGGTGGATTTCATAACAAAGGAGGCACAGAAGGGAAATATGCCTGGCTCCCTGCTCTGCCACTCCCTCCCTGTGGATCCGTGGGCAACTTGCTCTCTAGGTCCTCTGTCAAATGATTTGGCCAGACTAGACCAGTGATATAAACATTTTTAAGAACAGGGCCCTAGGAACTGTACACCTGAAGAATGGTGACTTGGCAATGTTGTGTTATATATATATTTTACAGCAATAAAGAGAGAGAGAGAGAGGAAAATAAAGAACATGAACCTTTTTCAAGATTTGACAAAAGCTGATGACCCCTTTCCTCCCCAGAAAATAGATGCACGTTGCAAATCTACACGTAATTTCAAGGCCAGACTCCCTGGAGCCCATCTTTAGCCTCTTGGAGGTTCATGGTCATCAGCTATGAATCTCTGGTTTCGGTCATCTAGAAAAGCCCTCTCAATTAAAGAAAAAAAATAAAGTATACTGAGAATGTGAGCTGATAACTCTATCTAACCCCTATAACCTGTTGGGCAAACAGCCTATAAATCAGTGGCATCTGATGGCCCAGGAATGACAGACAATTCCGGAAGGTTTGGTCTTTACAATCATTTAAAAAAAATCATCTGACCTGGACCAGGGAACCCCGTCTGGGACGGATCCATTGTCCATCGGCGGGTGTTGGATACGAACGATGCACTGGAGATGAAATGCTTGGGGGGCCCTGTGTAGTCCACGATGTCATACTGGCCAGGGCCCGGGAAAGGTGGCTTTGGTGGGAGAGGCAAAGGCTGGGCGGAGAAGTTCAGGATGGGGTTTTTCCTTCAGGAAAGACAGAATGTGAAGACATCACTATATCAGTCTATTGAAGAAATGCTAGCTTTAAAACATAGCCAAGATGTGGATCACACCAAGTCTAGTCGGGACACAGCACCAGGTGACTTTGGGCAGAACTCTGGCTTCACTGCTGGTGAGCTGGTGGCCTCTGGGTTTCCTTCTTATTTCCCCAGGTGCATATAGTACCTACTTTGTAGGCTTATCATCAGGATTAAATGGGATGGTACACCTAAACCACAGTTCTCAGGACAAGGCCTGGCACATAGTGACAGTTTAGTGCACATCAAGTTCCCTTGCTATCGATGTTGCTGTTGAGTTTATTAGCAATGACACACAGCATTCCTCATATGCCAGCTCTGATCTATTGGTGGTGCCTGGCTGGAGCTCTGTGTCAAGAACTCTGAGGCCTCATTGTGGGATCAATGGGAAAAGGCATTGGTGATCTACTTAGGATGTCTGCCATGGGGCAGAGAAGGGGAGGAGACAGCTCACATTCCAGGGACTTGCAATCTCAAGACCAGCAGATCTCTAGAGGCCATTACAGCTTTGAAGTTCTAGAAACCTATTTAAAAATCTTCCTGGCAAGACAAGATGCTGGAGTGAGAAAAAACATTGTGTTGGTAATCAGGATAACTCTGCATAACACTTATCACTTGTAATTGTCTGTTTTGAGGTCTGTCTCCCTCTCCTTCAGGAAAGGGGTCTTTTATCTCTGGTATTGAGAGAATTAATGAAAGAATGAAAAAAACAGAACCTGTACTTGAGCTCTAGCTTGGTCACTAATTCACTCTCAGTTTCCCCATCTATAAAATGAAGCACTTAAACAACATGACCTGAAATCCCTTTAAGCTGTGACCTTTTTGCCAGGCCTTGATTTGAAGGTTTCCACTGGGTTGGCCCAGGGAATTCTGGGATTACTATGGGAGTCAGGCTACTCTCCAGAAAGTACAATAGTAGGGTTGCCTACTTCTGCCTCATGTCCGGATCGTCCCCTGAGGCCTTTCACTAAAGGGAAGGGAAGGTCCTCAGACCACTGAATGGCCAAGGGATCCTTAGCCCAGCTGGAAGCAGACCACCCAAGCAGAGAAGGGGCCCAGGATTCTTGGCCACTGGGGCTCTCTACTGCCCTTGGCTATTACCTCCCAAGACAGAAGCATTCTTTTTTTTTTTTTTTTTTTTTAATTTTTTTTTGTTTTGGGTGAAGATTTACAGAGCAAATTCATTTTTCATACAGCAGTTCACATATACTTTGTCTCATGTCATTGACCAAAATTTACAATGCAACAGCTCCCCTCCCACTTCTTCCCCATAGCCACCTCTTCCCAGTGTCTATCCCTCCATACTCTTTTGCGCCCTGAGCTGTCTCCCTGTGCATAAGCAGCCCTTCCTTCTCCCATGATTGTTCTCTCCAGGGTGTGTGTCTACTTGAGGTAAATGTTTAACTCACTTGCCTGTACTTTGTTTGGCTGGAAACCACAAGTGTGGGTTCAATTCTAGACCTGAAGGGCAGCTAGGGGCCATAGTCTCAGTGGTTTCACCAGGCTCTATTGGACCAGCAAACCTGGTCCCCACCTTCTTTTTTTTTTTTTTTTTGCCTCCAAATGATTTTGAGTTTTGTTCCACATTGTTCTCCCTCTCTATGCAGGATCTCCTACATCCCTTCCAAGTGGATTACAGTGGTAGCCGGGCACCATCTAGTTCTTCTGGTCTCATAGTTGTATAGGTTGCAGATCAGATGGTGTACCAGTCGCTAGGACTGATTGTTTCCATTCATTTGGTTTTCTTCTTTCTTCTTGACGAGGAGACACCCATTGTTGCATCTAGATGGCAGCTTGCTAGCTTTTAAGATCCCAGTTGCTACTCGCCAAAGTAGGAGGTGGAACAATGTTTTGTATAGTATGTTATGCCAATTGAGCTTGATGTCCCCTGCGACTATGGTCCCAAGCCCGCAGGATCAACTTCTCGGTTGCTCTGGGTAGCTGGCTGTGACCAAGCAATGACCATAACCTTGCCCCTTGTCAGCTCTACTATACACCTGGGAATTCTGATCACTCACATAAACTTATAGGACCATTGTCCCAAGACAGAAGCATTCTTAAACTCAGAGAGCTAGAAGGGACCTAGACATGTCTCATCTATTTTATTTTGCCAAAGATGAGAATTAATTTCTCTCCAGAGAGAAAGTAACTCATTCAAAGTTACATAGCAAGTTGGTGGTTGTGGTAGTTAAGGCAGTATGGCAACTTGGCTGGGCCTGGTTATGAGTGGCTAGGTAACTGGATGTAGTTATTCCACATGATGAGACTGGCAATCAACTCCATGGTGGAATCTACTGGAGCAGCTGAGTAGCTAGCTGCCTTAAGGATGTGGTCTGCTTCCCGTATATAATGAGAAGCACTGAGAAAGGTCTCTGAGCTTTTTGGCATGCTTGGACCCTGCATGTAGCTGAGTCTTCATTTAGCAGCCTGCCATGTTTCTTGTCAATCTTGGGCCTGTCTCTGGACTTGAACTAGTGGCCTACACGTTGTCTAGTAATATTGAGACTGTGCCATTTTATTTGTCGACCTTGGGCTTTTGTTAGCCTCAGCAGCCTGCAGCTGCCTGAGTGAAGAGACGCCTCTAGCTTCAGTGGGCTGGGAACAAGAGGCAGAGCTGAAGCCCAAGGTTGAGGGGCTTTCACCCAGCCCCTAGAGCCTGGCACTTTGAACTCAGACTTCTAGCCTCTAAAACTGTAAGAGAATAAACTCCTGTTTGTTAAAGCCATCCCATTTGTGATATTTTCTGTTAGAGTAGCACTATGTAACTGAAACAGTGGTAATACCTGTACAAGAACTCATGTCTCCTGGGGCCTAGCAATTTCAGGAAGGCATCATGGAGTCATATAGACCTGGGTCTGAATTCTAGTCATGCCATTTGCTGTGAGACCTTGGACAAGTCCCCTGACCTCTCTGTACCTCAGAGAGTATCAAGGAACAATAGCATCTACTCTTTATAAATATAAATAAAGATATATAAAGCACTTAGCATAGTACCAGCATATAGTAGGTACTCAATAAAATTAGTCATTATCAAGGTTTATATATGGAAGGAAATTTTCTTTGTTGGTTACCAGGGGTGGGAGGGGAGGGGAGGGGAGGGAACACTGAAAAAATAAAAAAAGAACTGACCCATGTAAAAAAAAATGTAGTCATTATTAGTATTATTATCCCTGCAGAACCCCACCTGTGGTTGCAAAGGAGCAACTGAGCCCTAGAAATGGGAGTTGTGGGTGCCACTCACACCAAAGTCACCCTGATGAAGCCATTGAAAGCCATCATAAATATCCTTGAGGCTCATACCTTGTGATGGAATTTACTGGCGTGGATGCATTTAGAAGAAAGGTGCCCACAGGAAAAGGGAAGAAATGTCTGCATGGAAAAATTGGTGATAGTGTACAATCAACCCCCTCTTCACCTTCTAACTCAAATCTGACTCTTTGTTCTGGCTTGTTGCTCCTCATTCAAACTCCCAGAAATCTGCAGAGTATGTGACTGGCATCGTCCAGACAGGTTTGACTCCTGGAAACTAGAGCTAGAATGAGCCAACCATTGGATGAGGTCATCTTGTTCAACTTCATCAGTCTGGGTCACCTCCAAGCCCAAGATTTCCCCCCTATTCTTTGAGAAGACCATGAGGTGGCTTGCTCCCTAAGCAGGGACAGTCTGCAGGAGCCTGGAGCAGGCCGAGTCAGCATCTCACCAACGTTCTTGGTGAGAATGGGTTAGATCTTGGCTTTCCATCCACCAACACCAGGAGAGCTCGGCACCTTCGGCCCAGCTCTGAGGAGCTTCGGTAAGCACCAACAATGTGTGTGCCCCAGTGCCAGGCACGCAACAGAGTGCTGAATACCCTGAGGACTCAATGATCCACTGCAAAGGGAGGACGAGTCCATGACTAGTGACAACTCAACGCAGTTATCAGAGGGGACAGAAGCACAGGCTTTGCAGTCAGACTTGGATTTGCATCTCTGCTTCCCCGTTCAATAGCTGTGTGTCCTTAGAAAAGTCTCCTAACCTCCCTAAGCCTCAGTTTCTTCATCTTTAAAAGGGGGGGGTGGTAATACTGCCACCCACAGTTGTCACAAATATTAAATGTAAAAACACTGGTATGACTTTTAGAGGACGTGTTATGTTAGAATAAAAGTAAAAATTCTGTGCATTGAGAGTACAGCCTCCACTGCTCCCCCAAAAAATATTACTTCCAACAGGTGAATCCAGAAATCCATCCTAGAGGAGGTGACATTTTCCCTGAAAGATGATGAGGAATTCTTCAAGCAGAAAAGGTGGGGAAGGGCATTGCCAGCATAGGGAACAGTAAGACAAAAGCCTCATCTCCCACATCCCCTACTCCCATTTGACCTTCCAGAACCAACCAACACAATGTTGTTGCAACTCCATATCTCTGCCTATGATGCTCCTGCTGCCAGGAATACCTACTTTCCCTGCCAACTCTTATTCATTCTTCACTTCCTTCAGGGAAACTTCTCTGGCCAGCCTCCCACCCCCCATCTACCTGACTGGGTTAGGTGTTTCCCTCCTATGACTCAATAGAAGAACATGGGTTTTGCTGTCCAGTAGACACGAATTTGAATCCCAGCCCTACTCTCACTTTGGCAATCAGCACTTTATCCGTAAACTAAAATAACAATACTGACCAGCAGGGGCATTGGAAGGATGACACTAGATGACCTCTGTAAAAGCTCTTAGCTCTTCAATACATTCTGGCCATGATCGAGACTCCTGTTTTCTCTGCACATAGCACCTCAGACCCTCCATGCTTTGTCCCTGCTCTTTCAGGGAGAGGACTGGACTTCACCCATCTTTGAATGCTCTAACCTTATTCTGGGAACATTTGATGAACTACAGAGAAAACCAGGTTGGTGACTGACAGGTAAGTGGGCCCCGACATCCTGACCCCCCACCTGAGACCCTCCATCATCTTCCAGG